CGTTCTGCGTGCAGCACTGGGTGTTATGCACAAACAATGAATCATGGAACACTACATCAAAAACTAATGATGTAATGTATGGTGATTAACATAACAAAAAAATTTAAAGAGAAAAAAAAAAGAATACGGAATTCAAACCCATATCAGACTGGAGAGGCTTATGCTTACCCTGGTATACTTTATGATATCCTGTAAACATATCAGATCTCTCTCTCGTCTGTTGTCAATCAGGTTTAAACAAAGTAAAGGGCATCCTCAAGGGCAGAGGATGGTTTCCAAACTAAATTGTTTTTTCCTCTCATGAATTAAATGGTTATATTAATTTTGAAAAGAATGTCATACAATTGGTGGCAGTAATAATACACTTTCTCTCTCTTTTATTTAAAATGCATGATCATCATCTAACATTTAGTGAATTCCAAAGATAAAAAATATTAGATTCCCTTCACATCAGAGAGAAGCATCAGCAGTTGTAGGAAAGTCAGGGAGCATGTTTTTCTGAGCTGATCACCTCCCAACAGCATGAGCTGATCTAGCCAAATTGGTGACAGCTTCAATGCTACTGAAATGGTAACACATATTATTCTAAAGACACAGAAAATTCCTCCATTTTAATGAAATTCAGCTGCATTCTTACAAAATCTCTAATGTGTATACAAGTGTCTCGCCGAAATTTGTGATTTTTTAGATGCTTTGTTTTTAAGTGCTATCTGCTAGGTTTTTTTTATTAACCAAAAAAAAAAAAAAGCAGTAAAATTGAGCGAGAACTACAAATCTGAAAATAGAATTTAATAGAAGTTGCTTCCTAGTGCATACTCTGGAGCTCAATGATAATGTGCTCTTTCTGGTTACTGTTGGGCACAACGATGGTGTACTGACTTAGAGGGGGGACCTGAGCATGCAGAGGAGAAGCTGAGGCCTGGAGGGGGTCTCTGATCTCACTTCCAACTTGCTGGGGGCAAGACCAGAAGCAACTGTGCTCCGCACTCCTCTCTCTGACTCAATCTCCCACTTCAACTGTGACCTCCTCATGGCTGTAGGAGAACTTTTATTTTTATTTATTTATTTTTTAAAATTTTATTTATTTATTTGACAGAGAGAGACACAGCGAGAGAGGGAACACAAGCAGGGGGAGTGGGAGAGGGAGAAGCAGGCTCCCCGCCGATGTGGGACTCGATCCCAGGACCCCGGGATCATGACCCGAGCCGAAGGCAGACGCTTAACGACTGAGCCACCCAGGTGCCCCTGTAGGAGAACTTTTAATAATTTAAAAGGAAAAGAGGGGCACCTGGGGGGCGCTCAGTTAAGTGTCTGACTTGACTGGCTCTGGTCATGATATCAGGGTTGTGATCTCACCAGCCCCCGCCCCCGCCCCAGGCTCCATGCCCAGGATGCTTAAGATTCTCTCTCCCTCTCACTCTGCCCCTCCCCACCACAGCATGCACACATGCTCCTCTCTCTCTCTCTCAACATTAATTAATTTAAAAAAGGAAAATAATCCAGGGTCTAAGACCTACGGCAACTGAAAAGAAAAGTACTACATTTTAAATTTACTCAGGAGGAGCTGATTGTTTTGTTTTCCCTGCAATCGTTTTCAAAATCAAATACCTTCCAAAAACCATACACATGAAATAAAAATTATCTGTGTCTTGACAAAAGTCAGGATTTTACTTAAAATTCATCTAGCCCAATCAAGGGAAAATTAAGACAAGAATACTCTGAAAGACCTACAGCATCTTAATTCTTCCATTTAGTTCTTTTTCTTGCTTCCACCATAATGGACCTAAATGTGGCTATTAAGGGAATCTGACTACCAGCCTATGTGTCTACATAGAAAAAAACTGCTTAGCATGTGCCTTTAAAAATAAACTCCCCAAGGGATGGCCCAAAATGGATGTAGAGTGCTGGTAGAACATTTTTTCAGTGTCACACAGATGACCTAGCCAGCTTACCCATTTTTGTAATCCACGCAGATATCTTTTCATAAAAGAAATTCAAGATCAAGATGACGATAAAGTTCAAGCAGGATCCACTGAGTGACGTGGTTATCTGGGGAGTGAGGAAACTTTTGACATGCTTGAAGGATGCTTCACTTTCCATGAAGCTAGCAAATGTAGCAAACACTGACAGGCGGTACACAATCACAGCTACCATACACGCGATGACAAGGGCCATCTGGAAAAGGGAAACAAGGAATCTATCACCCTGGTCTCCGTATCTCTGCAATGCGCACGCACCTGAAACATACGACTCTCTTCATCTCATTATGTTAAGGTTAGCCCCTCTGACTTGGGAAGCAGACCAAGCCAGTCTCTCTCACCATAGATGGCAGGAAAAGAACACTGGTAAGGCAAAAGGGTTGGAGAGAAGACAAGACATATGGTTGCAGTTGGGTGAGTCTAAACCAGACAAGTAGCCATTGCCCATCCTTTAGGCCTGTCCTCTACCAAGCGTTGGAAAACTAGCCAGAAGGCCAAATCCTGCCTGTGGCCTTACTTGCTCTTGTATGGTTCTTGAGTTAAAGATGGCTTTTTGCTTTTTTTAAAGGTTATATGGAAAAACAAAGATGATCACATGCAGAGACTATTTGTGGCCCACAAAGCTTAAAATACACATGGCCGCTCCACAGTGCAAACTCTGCCCTGGGTTGTAGTTAAACAGGTAGTGTGAAGACCATGTACTTTCCCAAGAAGAACACATTTAGAGATTCTATTTCATTTCCCCTCAGAATGTTGCCATTAGTGTTCTGATATGCCTGGTCGTTTAGATATTTGTATAGATTCTACATAAATTTTAAACACTTCCCGTATTGCAAAAACCCAAAGATCTGGGGATGCATTAACCTCAATGATTGGAAAATCTGATTGTGAAAGTTGAGGGATTGAATCAAATGGAATGAGTACTAGAAATAAAAGAATAATCTTTCTGGGACCACACTCTAGATTATTTCTCAAGCAGTGCCCTGAATTGATTATTGCTATATTATTAATAGAGTATTATTTACTCTATCACTTCTCCTCAGTGACTGTTATATCATCTAAGAAAACACACATTTAAAAGAGAAAAATCAATACCTTTAACTAGAAATGTTAAAGATAAAATATTATGGGATAATATGAACTGTAAGGTTAAATTCTAGTCAATAGCTGCTAATTATTTATACTTCAACATGCTAAACTCTCAGAGGGTTAACACTGCTTCTTTTCCTTAAAATTCAAGGCCATCTGTGAGAGGACACACATTTGGAAAGTTGGAGGGCAGGAAATAAATTGTGGTGATGGAGGAATCTATTAACTAAAAGGCATGGAAAAAACCTGACTCCCTCACAATGGGACACGCTAATTAAACTCTTCAAGTAGAAGTAGTACTTTCTTCTATTTATTTCAGCAAGAAAATAAATTCAAGAGTATATGCTTTTTTTTTGCATTTTGTGTAGATATTTTAATTGGAGATAAAGATAAATTAATGATTTTTTTAAGGAAACAAAACCCAAATAGCCTGCAAACAAATTATCTGTTACACTGTTCTGGTTGCTGGGAGAGGGGGAGGGGCAGGCTCTAAGATGAGGCACCAGTCTCTCCCCGAGCTCTTTCTCCAAGGTTCAATTATGGCACATCCATGTGGATCACACTTGATTTTACATAGGAGCTCTATTCAAAATAAAAAGCCAGGAGAGGGGGAGAAGGGGGAGAGGGACTCAAGAGCCATGGCAGATGAAACTGCTGAGCTAATCCTAAGATGATTGCATATCAAGAGATGAGAGCAGTTTTCCAAGAATGCTCACCCATAATGTCACCGTAGCTCCCGATAAAAAGTACCAGGGAAGACGACTACATAGAGGCATGTAAGGTTCCATCTCCTGCAATTTTGAAGAAATCACAGCAAAATTCAAAATCTACCCTCAAAGCTGGGACACCAAGCAGTAGTCAAAACCATAAAACCCAGTTAAAGTAGAAACCTCCCCCAGAATCCACTACAGCTCATGGGCAGCTACATTCTAGCAATGGTTCCTTCCCTTCAAGGAGAGAACTTCAGGGCTCTTAAGTGAGATATTTCACACATGATATGAGACATAATGGATACACACTATATCCTCAGGATTGAATCAGAGCGGTATTCAGGGCCTGGTAGATGGGAAACAAAGTCAAAACCTGGGGGCTGCTGCTTAAGTGGACATGCTTTAATGATATTATAGTTTTCTTCTAATTGAACCGAATTGAACTGCATTGCTCTATGATTGCTATACATGATATCAAATAGGGCACCATCTTTCTATTTACAGTGTTCTGTGTGTTCTTCCACACAGTTCAGGGGACCAGACTTTTCTATCTTGATGTTTGTCTAAGTCATTAATGGAAGATATTCATTATATCAGCTGAAATTCTTAGCTATATCAGGAGGCAGTGAGATCTTACCCAAAAAAACTGTTATATAGTAAAAAAATAGCTGTCAGCAGAAATCTAACTCATGTAATCCTATCCTTTAGATAGGGAGGATTTTTACACCTTGAGGATTTTTAGGGAAGTCTGAATGCAAACAGAACTTGACAGGCAGAATAGCTGTCCAAGAGTTTCTACTGAACGTGTGTGTATGTGTACACATGTGTGTCCAATATGTATGTGTTTGTGTATGCATATTTGTGCATGTGTGTATGTGCGTCCATGCATACATGTATGTGTTTCCCAATACAGACTCAGATGTGAGAGCTCTGGTCATACTGACCCACTGAAGAAGCACTGCAAGTAAGTCAAAAACCTTGATTTCAAAACCATTCAAGCGGACAATTCACAGTGAATCGATCCATACTGTTTTTCAGCTGGTTTCAAATGTAAACGTTCAGCACATCTTGTTTTTATGGCAATGATTTTAGGCCTGCTTTTAGTTTCCTTCTTATACCATGAAATATGAATAGATACACATCATGTCATTATCATGACAATGTCTCTTTTAATATATTTTCTTAATGTCATACAGCTACTCAAGTTGTTAATGTATTTTCTGAGGCGTTTTTCCCCTTTGCCAATTTACTGAATTTTTTGTAATGTCTCACTAAAAGTTAATGTTTAGTGAATGCATAAATGTCTGAACTGTGAAAATAATTTTGAGTATTATGCCACAAGAATAGTGCCCTGAACAGAGTGGGAAATTCTGCTGAAGAGACTGTGTTAGAGGCATACTCTCTTCTCCCTTTAACAGCATCAGGCCACACAGTGATTATGGATGATGAAAGGTACGGATGCTAAGAATATGCAGTCAACAGTCTGGTCTTTGAAGGCAAAGTACCTTGCATTTTTCACATTAAAAAAAAAAAAAAAAAAAAAGAGGTACCAAGAAGTCAAATTACAAAGTACCAACATATAGGTGATTTGTCAGTGAAGGAACCCCAAATCTAGACTTTGCCATCCAGACAGAAGTGCAATGATCTTCCCAATATAATAAATTAAAAGGGACTAGGTGAATAAAATTAGGTCTAATAAAACAATCACTCATAAGCTTGCTATCTTAATACAATACTATTTTAATTTTGGTATATTAACATAGTATCACTTCCATGTGCATACATATTTATATACTAAGTCCACTGCATACACATTATTTTCCATTTTCCTTTTATTTTATTTATTACAAAACTAGGTTATGTCACGACATGAGGCCTTGTATTTGCTTCAAAATCATCTCGTGGCAGGGAGGAGCAATTGTAAATGAAACAAGACTATCCATGAATTAGTATTCCTTGAAGCTGGGTGATGGGTCCAACCTGGGGTTCATTATACTTTTCTATCTACTTTTTTTTCTAAAGATTTTATTTATTTATTTGATAGAGAGGAGAGACAGCGAGAGAGGAAACACAAGCAGAGGGAGAAGCAGGCTCCCCACTGAGCAGGGAGCCCGAAGCGGGGCTCGATCCCAGGACCGCAGGATCATGACCTGAGCAGAAGGCAGCTGCTCTGCTTTAGACCTGAACCACCCGGACGCCCTCTACTTTATTTGTATATGTTTGAGATACGTGTGAGACACAAGGAAAGATGTTTATAAGATTTATATGTTGGAAAATAATTTTAAAGGCAAATTAAAATATACACTATTATTTGTGCGGCGACCTACAGTGGTGACTCCATTGAGACATGCTGCCCGTCAGTGCCCTGACCTACCTTAGTCACTGCATTCATCTTCCTTTGTTTACACATCGCTTCAAATTCCGGTCTCAGCTGGAGCTGTTGTTGCTCCTCTTCGAAATCCACCAGGTCCCACTCATATTCCATTCTGGCCTGTCGCTGTTTCCAAAACTCCAAAAACAATGTGACTGTAGACAAAGAAATGTGTAAAAACAACCGTAATCAAGGGATGGAGAAATAAAGCCCATAACAAAATAATCTGGGGCTTTTTTTTCCTCGACTTTAAAAAACCATGTTGGCTGAATGATGGTTCTTCTGTCCACTACTATGTTGGCTTAAGAGCAGGTAATAACACTGAAATAACACATATATAAAAACTCCAGTTAATTTCATAGCAGTCCATGTAAGAAAAAAGGCACGTTACTGTCTCTTGATTCAGACAGTCTGAAGTAATATTTAAACTTAACTTTTTACTAAAACCTAGATTTTGCTTGCATTTTTTTTTTTTTTTTTAGCAAAATCATTGAAGCGATCATACCAGTTTTTCGGGCTTAGGTAAATTTAAGGAAAACATGAGAGCCACTCCCATAGCACAATCTCTGTCTGTCTCTCTGTCTCTGTCTGCCTCTGTCTCTCTTTCTCTTTCTCTCTTTATATATATTATATACATATAATTTTTAATAAACTTTCAATTGCATCATAACATATTTACAGAAAAGTACATAAAACACAACTGTACAATTTAAAGAATTTTCACAAAATGAACATTCCTGTGTAATCAGCATCAATATCAAAAAATATAACATGACCAGAACCCCCAGAAACACTCCCTTATGACTCTTCTAAGATGTAAGTGTAACTAGTATCCTATCTTCTAATATCATAGGATAGTTTCACCTGTCTTTGAACTTTTCATAAATGGTGACCTACCAGAGGTAGTTTTGTGTTAGGTTTTGTTTTGGTTCAACTTTTCTTGTAAACTGAATCCATATTGCTGTGTGTAGCAAAAGTTCATTTATTTTCATTGCTGTATAGTATTCCATTGTTTATGTAAATCACAATTTTGTTTATTCTCAGGTTCATGGGTGTTTCGGCTATTGCCAGGTTTTTTGCTATTACAAATAGTGTTGCTGTGAATGTTCTTGTACATATCTACTGGTGGGCATATGAATGCCTTTCTCTTGGGTATAGATCTAAGAATGGAATACTAACACAATCAATATTAACTTACAATTTTATCACCTGTGATTCCAATTTTAATGTTTCATCTGACTCATTCCCTGCCTACTTTTATTTTCTTTAATTTTTAAATTTTTTTAAATTTTTTTTTAAGTAGGATCCACACCCAGCATGGAGCCCAACACAGGACTGGAACCCACAACCTTGAGATCAAGACCCGAGCTGAGATCAAGAATCAGACCCTTAACTGACTAAGCTACCCAGGTGCCCCTTTTCCTCCTTTAAAAAAATTTTATTTTACTGTAAGAACAGTTAAGTGGCTTTCCACCATCTTAACAAATTTTAAGTCTACAATACCTTATTGTTGGCTATAGGCACAAAGTTGTACAGCAGCTCTCTAGAGCTTATCTTACTTAACTGAGACTATGTCCCCATTGATTAGTTACTCCCCTTTTCCCTCACCTCCACTAACCCCCAATAATCTCCATTCCACTCTCTGATTCTATAAATGTGACTATGTTAGATACTTCCTATAAATGGGATCAGGAAGGATTTCCCTGTCTGTAACTGGCATATTTCACTGACCATAATGTCTTCAAGGTTCATCTATATTGTCACATATTGCAGAATTTCCTTCTTTTCAAGGGTGAATATCAAATGTATATGCCAAGAGTATGTGGTGTATATATACACCACAATATCTTTATCTATTCATCTGTCAATGTGGACATTTAGGTAGTTTCCACCTCTCGCTTATTGTGGATAGTGCTTCATTGAACATAGGAGTTCCAACATCTCTTCAAGATCCTGATTTCAATTATCTGGAGGAAATACTCAGAAGTGGTATTGCTGGATCAAATAGTAGTTCTACTTTTAGTTTTCTGAGAAATTTCCATACTGTTTTCCAGTTGTACCATTTAGCATTCCCACTAACAATGTACAAAAATTTGTTATAATTCTCCACACCCTCACCAGCTCTTGTCTTTTGTTATTTTGGTAAGAGCCATCCTGACAGGTGTGAGATGACATCTCATTGTGGTTTTGATTTGCATTTCCCTGGTAACTAGTGACACTAAGCATTTCTTCATATACCTATTGGCCATTTGTATATATTCTTTGGAGAATGTCTATTTGAGTCCTTTGTCCATTTTAAAATCAGGTTATTAGGGTTTTTTCACTATTTTTTCAAAGATTTTATTTATTTATTTGAGAGAGAGAAAGAGAAAGACAGAGAGAGCGTGAGTGGGGAGGGGCAGAGGGAGAGGGAGAAAGAATTTGAAACGGGCTCCAAACTAAGCACAGAGCCTGACACAGGGCTTGATTCCACGACTGCAAGGTCATGACCTGAGCCGAAACGGAGTCAGATGCCTAACCAACTGTGCCACCCAGGTGTCCTGGGTTTTTTCACTATTGAGTTTCAGGAGTTCCTTAAGTATTTTGGAGATTCACCTCTTATCAGAGATATGATTTGCAAATATTTTCTGCCATTACATGGGTTGTCTTTTCACTCTGCCATTTTCTATGCTGCACAGAAACTTTTAACTTGATGCAGTCCAACTTGTTCTTGGTTTCTGTTACCTGGGCTTTGGTGTTATGACCAGGAAATAATTGCCAAGATCAATGTCATGAAGTTTCTCCTTAAATTTTCTTCGAGGAGTTTTATATAGTTTCAGGTCTTTCATTTAAGATTTTATCCAATTTTGAAGTGATTTTTGTGTATAGTGTAAGATAAAGATTCAATTTCATTATTTTGCATGTAGATATCCAATTTCTCCACACCATTTGTTGAAGAGACTATCCCTTCCCCATTTTGTATTCTTGGAACTCTTGTCGAAGATTAGTTAACCATGTATGTATGCGTTTATTTCTGAACTTTATTCTGTTCTACTGGTCTGTATATCTGTTTTTATGCCAGTGCCATATTGTTTTGATTACTGTAGCTTTGCAATTTTGAAATCAAGAAGTGTGATGTCTCCAGCTTTGTTCTTGACCTGGCTACTTCAAGACTCTTGTGATTCTACATGAACTTTTTTCAGTTGTTTTTCCCATTTCTGTTAAAAAATGCCATTGGGATTTTGGTAGAGATCATATTGAATATTTAGATCACTTTGGGTAGTATGGAAAAATTAATAATATTAAGTCTTCCAATCTATGAGCATGGGATGGCTTATTATAGTATTCCTCCAAATATTTAGAAATATAGGTATTGTTTGCTTTGCATGGTTACAGTATGCATGTTCCAGTTTCCACGAGTTAGTTACATAACACAAGTCCCCCAGCATGACTCAAAGTTCTGGTACTGCAGTATATTAATCGTGAACTGTTGCATAAAGTACAAATTTTGCTGTTAGTTCTACAAACCACAAATCACTATATAAATAGCAGATGGGTATCATGATTAGTGACCAATCACATCACTTTAAATGCTGCTGGTGTTTGAACCACTACATATCTGTTATTCATTAATGCACAGACAGCAAAGCATTCATTTGTGTTTTCTCCTTGTCTTCCATGTGACATTTTACAAAAATGGATATCAACAGATAGAACTGATCAACAAGGATGAAAGTATAACAAGGAATGAAAAGTGATTAACAAATAAAACATAAGTGGAGTTATAGAAGAAATAGAGGACTCTGAGAATATTGACATTGCTGCCATTTGAGAGACTACACATAAAGCCAGAGAAATCTAGCAAAGGCAATCTTACTGACATAAATGAAGAAAGCAGTTGTGAGGAAGAGGATGATGTCCCATAGGAAGTGATGTTGGGAAAACCTTCAGCTTAAAGGGACTTTCAGTGATGGTTCATTACAATGAAGGCATAGAGGATAAGCTAATGCTCACATCAGATTGTTCTATCCTTGGGATACCTTTCCCACCCTTTTTCCCTATCAAAATCCTATTTTTTAAAAAAATCCAAAACAAATTCCCTATCTTCCATAGTTATCTCAATTCCTCTAGTCAAGAAATAATTCCTTCCTCCTCTGTACTTCCTCAGCACTTAAAATTTAATGAGAGCATGTATTGGATTCCGGCCGAATTAGATTGTGACCTTCTTAAGAACAGGTTATATTTCATTCATTTATTTTTTCACCTTTTAATTTAATACTGACTGAGACAGATGGCTTTTACTCATTTATTCATTTCTTTACTCATGTATTCAGTAGATACATTGTTACTAGGAGAACAAAGTTTTAAGAGCATAGTATAATTAAGCAGTGTTTTAGTATTCCAATATTTCCCTGAAGGAGATCTACTTGCATACTTAGAAGCTGCTTCCTGAAGTTTTGGCTTCTTTAGTCAGGCTGCATCTAGGTGCTGATTGAGATCTTCCCCCTTTGGGACACTGACGGCTCTTGGCATACTCCCAAATACTGAGAAGGCAGTGAGGATAATCACAGAGTTTAGAGAGACGACCAAGAGTTCAGACTGGATTGATCAAAAAGATCCATCTCCTATACCAGATCACATGGTCAGGACTGGGAGAGGTAGTTGTTTTATCTAATGCACAGAAACCAACACAGAGAGACAAAGCAAATAAAGAAACACAGGAATATGTTCCAAACAACAACAACAAAACAAAAAGAAAAAGAAAATAAACCTCAGTAAAGGACCTTAATGAAATGAAGATAAATAATTTACCTGATAGGGAGTTCAAAATAATGGTCATAAAAGATGCTTACCAAGGTCAGAAGAACAATGTGTGAACAAAGTGAGAATCTGAATGGAGACAAAATATAAAAAAGTAATAAACACAAATCAGAGAGCTGAAGAATGCAATACTGTACTTAAAAATTTCAATAGAGTGATTCCACAGAAGATTAGATCAAGTGAAGCAAGGATCAGCAAACCTGAAGACAAAGCAGTGGAATTCAATCAGAGAAGCAAAAAGAAAAAAGAGTGAAATCAGCTTAAGGGACTTATGAGACAATATGAAGCTGACCAACATTTATATTACAGGCTCCCAAAAGGAGAAGAGAGTAGGAAAGGAGCAGAAAACTTACTC